GCATGTCAACATATTCTGTTACACCAAATACACAAAATAATGATCTTTTAAAAAGCATCATATGACCCCTTTAAGGTCCAATTCTCTGCATTAACAAACCATTAACTATGACTTTTGCCTCAATAAACTTCTAATCTGCTGCTTATTAATAGTTAGTTAGGTATTGGGTAAGATTAGGGATGTAGAATGTGGTCATGCAGAATATGTGCTTTATAAGTACTAATAAACAGCCAATATGTTAATAATAGCATGCTAATAAGCAACTAATTAATACTGAGAATTGGTCCCTACACTAAAGTGTTACCAGCATTTCTTGTACATTTGATTTAAGGTAAACAGTCCCAATACTTATGCTTATATTAGATTATGCTTATATTAGATTTAGATAAATAGTGGAATAATAAATAGATAGAAAATCTATATATTTCAAAAAACAAAAACAAAAAAAATTATATATATATAACAGTATTTCTAAAGGCTAATCATGTGATTTCAACATGGGGCGGCCCACATGAGGCTACCCACTACATGTAAAATAAAAAGGCTACTTAATAAATTAATAGGCTATTGATATGACAAGAGTTAATTACATGTGAGAGTAAAACATTTTTCAAAATACAGTTTTACACCTAAAATTACTGAGTGCATGTTTAATTGTACAGATTGTACAGAAAAACAGGAAAAAACACACTAGAGAGAAAGAAGAAAAATAAGTAAAAAAAAGAGAACACAAAGTGGATATTTAGAGATGTAGAGAGGGTGTGAAAGAGAAGAGCGGTATAAAGTAGAACCTGCAGTGACAGAAAGCAGCAGATCAGGGTGAAGCTACAGCAAGTCTCCCTGCAGAGCTCTCTAATTGGCTGAGGGGATATTTCTTTCTTTCCTGATTCTGCAAGTGCCTGTCCTGAACTCTATTACCATCCTAACACATCGATTAGCTTCTTCTTAGAAAAGACTACTGCACACCAACAGCCTGAATCAATTATTAACGCCTGATAGTGAATTTGTTGTCTCTTCATGTGATCCAGATACTTTGCAGACATACGCAGGTGTCTCTATTCTCACAGAAAAGCTTTTAAAAAATTAAAAACCAGCATTAAAATGTGAGAAACCATAATAAGGTTTAACTTCATACATGTTCCTGCTGAAATTGAAGATGCAAGATGGATTCCCAGGGCTCTGGTTCTGTTCGAAACGAGCCAATTATTTAATTTGACTGGGGCCTGAACAAACACACTCTCTCTCGACGACTTTATTATTTAAACTCACACTTAATTATCTGAATCAACCAACAGAAGCACAGCCCCACTTCCTCCAAGCCATGCCGAGAAAAACAGCCCCACATGCTGCTCACTGTTTCTGCTGGCAGTGAACGGGTAGCTGACACTTTAAATACAACTTTACTAATTCATATTATTGTGCTGAACAGCTCCTTTATATAACAAGATGAATCTGAAACAGCCTTCCTTCAAAATGTGTTAGAATTCAGTGTTAAAATACTTTCTATAAATACAAGGACAAAATGTAATAACTATGGCAATGTTGAAACTGGAAAATGCTGCCAATTGTTTTAAAATTGAATTTTGATTGATTTATTATCAATTCTCACACTCCATTTTCTCTAATCAGAACCTTTTAACCCTGTAAAATCCTGACATTTGAAAAAAGTCAGAAATGTATTTTTTTTAAATTACACCTTGAGACAAAAAAAAATATTTAATATTTAAATATTTAAGTATAATATTTGATATATCAGGCTTTTATAGCTCATATACTGTAGTATGACAAAGGAGAATATGGAGTTCACACTCAAAGAGAAAAAAAAACTCAATTTGATTCAAAACCTGATATTTATACGGCCAAAAGAATGATGGAATTCTGATAGCCCATAATGTAAATCAACGAATATTTATTACAGTATACCACTACTTACATAAAATGCATAAAAATAAATATTAGTTGTCAATATATTTATATTATTATGATGATATTTGAATGCTTAGTTTTATGATCTGTAGCTTTTATTGTGGTGGAAAACATATAATGCTATGCAATACAATGCTGTTTAAGACGTACTAATGATTATTCATCAAAAGCCTAATGTATCATATATGATGCTTACATTTTTAAACATGATTGTTTCAAAATTATGTATGGATAATCAAGTTAAGTTACAGTTCTTTCAGTTCAGTATGTTCATCTAAAAATATTAATAACAATTTAAAGTTATTATATTTACTTTATAAAAATAACAGCAAATAGACACGTGTACCATGAGATGAAGATGAACAGTTTTATACTTATACTAAAAGGCCTTTTACTTGCTAAAAAAAGTATTAACTATCAATTAAATGACAAAAGGTATGTAGCAGATTGTGTCCAATAGTTTTTTTTCTGCAAATGTTGATAATTTAGAGACCTTAGAAATTAGTATATCAAATATGATACAGTAGGTTTTATATAGGGTTAAGAAAGTGTAGGAAACCTGTATCTTTTCAATAGTATAGCTATGGGCTTCTGCACACCTGTAGGGGTTGATGTACCTGCCGTCTCAGGGTCGGGATCAATGGTGTAGTTAAAGGAGAGCGCACAGCCTCGCTCCGTCACCTGGAAGGGGAAGAAGCTCTCAAACAGGTCAACTCCTGCTTCAACACAGCTGATGACCTCATCAGGACAGCCAACCCCCAGCACCAACCTGACACAGATGGCAAAAGCTCAATGTCAATGCACTGCACGTTCAAGCTTAAAATACAATATGCAATGCAAATGCAATGTTTTTTTTGTTTTTTTTTGCCTTAATGGGAGTTATTATTAATTAAAGGTTAACTATAAAGGTTAATTAAAGGTCATAGTTGTCTCTACATGTACAGTTAAGATAGGAAAACGTATTTAAACATTTAATAAATTACACACTTCAGCTGTAACAGGTAATTCTAAGGCTTTAGATCTCACAATGCATTCTTTTCTATTGGTTTGGGAATACTTTTCTGTACCTCAGTAAGACAGATTATAGTCAACCCCAGAGATAAATCAAATCCAAGTTCAGCCCAGGGTAAATCATTAAGTATTAATACAAAACCAGTGAATCTGCAGTTTTTTTGTGCAGTCTCTATACTGCGTTTCAATGGAGATCCAAAAGCCATCTCAAACAGATCAACAAACACAAACTGTTTTTAAAGGGGTCATATGATGCTTTTTTAAAGATCATTATTTTGTGTATTTGGTGTAACAGAATATGTTGACATGCTTTAATGTTCAAAAAACACATTATTTTTCAAATACTGTACATTATTGTAGGTCCTCTATGCCCCGCCTCTCTCAAACGCTTTGTTTTCTACAAAGTCCCTCCTTCCGACAAGCGCAGTCTGCTCTGATTGGCCAGTTGACCCAGTGCATTGTGATTGGCCGAACACCGCAAGTACTCGTTGGAAATGTAATGCCCCTTACCATAATCGCGAGCTTCAGCTTTCAAAATAAATGTAAAGACAGAGCCCGA